CTAATTCTGGGGGAAGCAACATTTTTCATTGAGCAATTTATCTTGTACTTGAGGAAATACTTGAGGAAATATTAATTCATGTGCTGCCATTGCTGTGAGTGTGCTGCTTCTGCTGTTATTCCATAAAGCCACCATGTTCTTCATGCAAGTCTGAGAGTATGGACGTTATGTTTTTCATTTTAAATAGTTTTCTCCTGTAGTAAAGGATAATTCTTTGTATAGTAGTGCTGCTCTATTATTTTCTTGCCAGTGGATTATCATTTTTTATATTTTCTGTGGCCTGTCAGCACCGAGGCGTGCTTAGGTCATGGTTATGCATTGGGATTTTCTAATATTTACAATATTAAAAAATCTTTTACGTCATGAATAAGTGATTAGCCCACAGATAGTTGCAGGTAAGGAGCTTTGTCACATGAAATTTTGCTTAATTGTGACTGTCCAAGTGTGCTGCATTATAAAATCTGGATGGTCACTTGTAAGCATTTTGTACCACTGCCTCTTTGTCTATAAAGTGGCTTGGCACTTTTTTATTAAAGAGAAAATGCATGAATAGAATCTAGATACAGAAACTATGAAAACCTGTTTGCTAGTACTATGTGAACCTTCCTGATGAGTGTAATATAAAGAAGGAAAATGTCTCTTGTCTTAGATAAGGAAAAATGCATTCTCAGATTGATGCATGTATGGAAAAAAAGTAGGAATATAGGAATAAATTTTGTTTCTGGCAGATCATAACTTGTGGGTCAACACTTAGATCAGCCTTACTGTGGCTGCACAGCAATTCTGTCAAAAGATGAATATGTAACAATGGGTCTATTTCAGTTTCTGGACGTGCCCATCATTGCAGCAGGCTTGATTTTCTCAGAGTATAAACTCATTTTTAATTAAAAAAAGACAATCCCATATTATTCAATAGGATAGTTTAGTTCTTAAGTATGTGTTCTACCTATTTAGCTCTTAGCTCCCATTGTTCTACATACTCAAGTGATGTCAATTTGCTGTTATCCATTTCTGGTTTTTTAGAGTTAGTATTTTTAACTAGAATTTTAGTAGATCGTTTCTTTTCACAGCAATAGTGAAATTGGATCAATGGAATGTCTCTGCATTTATGTCAGATTCAGGATTTAAACTTCAGCTGCTCCCTGTGACACGCTTCATGATTGTGTTTTTCAGAAAAAGAATTGTCAGTACTCTGCAGTGTCAGAGACATCAGAAGGACACTCTTCCTATTCTTATCCAGAGAGCCTTGGGTAAACATTTAGTGGATCTTCAAGGTCCTGGCTTTTTGAAAACCACAGGTTTTCCATATTCCAGTTTCTATTTTCTGTTTCTATATTTCTATATTCTATTATTTTAGGTTTCTATTTTAATCACCCCAGTTCTGCTTTGATGCTGCTAGTGGCAATTCCACAACTCAATCTTTTGTGCTGATTGTTATCCTTGCTTAAGTGTCTTCTGTTTAATATTATCCAGAGCCTTTGGTCCAGTGTGTTATTCTTGGTTATGCATTTTCAAGGTGTGGCTGAGTTAAGGATCTGGTCAATCCAGCAAAAACTCTGACAATTTTTTCCCCTCTGCATTCCTGACAGGAAATAATTATGATCAGAAGTTAACAGATTGCCTTTGTCCTCAAATTTCAGTCAAGTTTTCTTTTATTTTCCATGTTTTAGCTGAATTTTAGCTACCATGGCTGAAAATGGGTATGTAACTATTTTCTGGAAAAAATCCAATCCAAACAGGTTGGGGGCTGTCTGTTATATTTTATGAGACAACTTTGTCCATTCAGCATGGCTGAAATCTGGCTTTTGGAAGGCTGAGGATTTCTATTAGCTTCCAGGTTCTTTGTAATAAAGGTTAAAATTCTATCTTTATTTCTTTCCATCAAATTACAGTTACCTGTAGGATTAAACTTGAGTAGCTGCAGACAAAGGTTGAGTTCTTGGGGGTTTATTGTTTGTGTGAAATGTATCTTCTCTGAGTTTTTCCTGTACTTACCCTTTTCCTACCCTGTCTCTGTATAACTGAAGGAAATCTTTATCACTCTGGATCTGCATGCCCTAACAGAGAAAAGCTTTCAGAAGGTCTAAAACTCTGAGTAAATTTGTCAGCCTATGTGTGGAAGAATGCAGTGCTGAAAGTGCTACACAGAGTGTGGATGGAGTATTTTACAAAGAAAATACTTCCTGAAACCTTTAGTTCCTCCTGAGGCTGTGCTGCTGCTGTGCTGGAAATTCACTTTACAGAGCAGACTTTGTCAAGTCAGCACCTGCAACAGTTTTGTTTAAGTTATTTCGAATGAGAACAAGTCTTTTAGTCAAAAAATATTTTAGAAACCAGTTTATAATTCAGCAGATAATTTATTTGATTTAAGTGTAATTTCTTGGCTTTGGTATTAAGTAAAAAATGAAGATAAATAGTTGTAATAAAGCTTAAGTTACAGGAACAATTGGTGGATAATTAATTGTTATTTACTGATTCCCTTTAGTCTCTGATTAGACTTAGCTTTTTTCTAAAAAATGGACTCAGAGATACCTTTCTGAAAAGTTTGGTGTTTTTTCACTTTCCTATGTCTCAAAAATATCAGAAGGATATTTTTATTAAAGGATATTTAGTTATCACTGAACTTTCTAAAGTACCCCTGATTTAAAGAAAGAGATCTCAACAATAAAAGAACACTTATATAATATGTTAAGCAATTCAGTAATAAGAAAATGTCAAGTCAATGACAGTTTAATATCCTCTTTGTTACTGTAATGTTTGCAGAATTTCTTTTCTGAATCATACAGTAAAATGGTACAGATTAAGGAGTTAATTCTTAATAAACTAATATATTATTAATTAATTTTAGTATTCCAAAATCATGGGAGAATTGGGAAGCAGATCACAGCTAGTACACTGTAAATCTCTTGAGATCAGACCATCATTTTAAAGACATCTTATGATAAAGGCAAACTTAATTTTTTGAAAATGAACTGAAAGAGACCAGAATACTATAATTTTTTTTCTTCTGCTAAAATGGAACAAACTGTCATTTTTTGACAATGACTTTTTTATTTTTTTTAATATCAGAAGGAGTTTTGTATTTAAATAACTTTCTTACTGAGAATGGTTTAGTCCAAAGTACTCTTAGTGGTTGGACTGGTAGATGTGGGAATAAGTTCTCAGTTAAATAGCAAAAGGGCCTGTCTGATGAAGAGACTGATGAATTGCCTGATATTTAGAAAGTGACAGGATAACTAAATATTTTTAAAATAAACTCTTTTTTGGAATAAGAACTCCTGAGCAAAGTCAAGGTTTAAGTTTCAGAAGAACTAGTGTTGTACAATCCATTTCTGAGAAAGACAGAGAATAAGTGAAATGTGTCAGAAGACAGCTATTTATTTGTTTGAAACTCAACCTTGGGAATGGGCTTCTCTTCTAAAGGATAATTGAGAAGCAGATGCATTGCAGAAAATGTCACATAAAAAGGCATGTCACATCATACATCTCTTTTTTTCATTTTTCTCTTGTTTTTGTTTTTGTCCTGCCAATCTTTCTATCTGAAATCAGGCAGTTCAACACTTTCTATTCCACTTACTGCCATTTTCTGGCACTTGATCGAGTTCTTAAACTTTTCTGATAATTGTCTGTCAGCCCAGCACAACATTTTACAAAATTAATTGCATTCTCAACAATAACAGGCAATTTGACTCACATAGCATCATGCTGTCACCACTTCATGTTAATAATCTGCCACTTGCCTTCCTGTTCCAGGAATATGTATGCTTTTGCCACTGAATATATTTGCCTTAGACTGTTTTCAGCTCCTTTTCTTCTTATTATTTTTTCTCTCTGCTCTAGGGCTTTCCCCCCAGTACACCAGCTCCTTTTGTTAAAAACCAAGCTTCATATATACTTAAAAAATTGCAGGAATGTTGGTAGTTTGGGGACATTTGTATTATTGATGGTTGCTATAGGCACCTAGAGCAAGTTTTCAAGCTGCTCTCTCACTGGTGTCTGTAAATCCTACAGCTATTGAGCACAACCCAGCTTGATATGCTCCACAGTATTTACTTCAGAATGGATGAATAATTTATACAACTGTGAATTTTTTTTTAGTGGTTTTGTACCCTTAGGAGAGCAGCTGCATATTTACAGTGTTATTTTGAATGTTGTGATTATTTGCTGTAGCACGTGAATATTTTAGAAAATGTACCAAGCCAAACAAAAAGAGCAGCTCCAATTTATTATATGAAAGGTTTTATTTTTCAAAGAAAATCTTTGCTTGTGGCAGTGTGGTGGTAAAATATAAGTTGCTTAATTGGAAGGTAGATAAAGTTCTTGCTGTGCAAGAGTGCTGTTGAGGAAGGAAAAGGATGGATGGAAGGAAGCAGAACTGGGTCTGTCTGTGTAGATTGATATGTTAGTGCCTTTTGCTAGGCATCATCAGGGCTGAAGGTGATGATATCTTGCACAAATAAAGCAGCAGCTCTGTGGAGGTACAGAAGGGAGCTCAGCAACAGGGGAGTCAGTCAAATGTTACCAATCCTGAAGTGGCAGGCAGAAATCTTTGAGATTTTATGGAGCCTGAAATGCACCAGAGGGGGACACCCCCCCTTTGCTGTATTCTATAGACTTGGTTGCATTAGGGATGAGCTAATGAATGTGTGGCAGTCTGTAGGAACTTTATTGACAGGATTAATTCTCAGTCCCTTTCAGTCTTTTTTGGATGTGGAAGATTGCCTCTGGAAACATACAGGACATAGGTTCAAGCTTGGTTTTAACAAAATTCCCTGTCACATCACTGGAGGCTGCCATAAGAATCCAACAAAATCAGCTTGTTGCATAATTTGTGATGATGCAGAAAGATAAATGGATTGGCCATTAATTTACAATACAACTATTTTACTAAAAAGTGATGATACCACATTTGTGAAATATTTCAAACATTTTTCTGAAAAGACAGGTCAGACAAAATGATTTAGTGCCACGGAAACATCATTAATCAATCATAACTTCTTTCAGGTCTATGTCTTTTTCAGGAGACAATGTTGTGTCAGTCATGCCTCCTGCTTCCCTTGTGAGGTGTCCTAGGGAATCAGGCAGTTATTTTTCCTCTTAGGAAGGATTTGGAACTTAATTTGACACTGTGCCATTTCAAGGAGAAATGTTCAGGTTTTAGTTTTGCTGTTCATGAGAGGAAAAGTCAGGTTTCACTTTTGCTCTTCAGCAAATGCAGAAATATTTTCCTGCTAGGGCAGAAGGTGAGTTAAGCTAATGAGAGAATGAAAGAGAAGCATCTGATGAAAGAAAAGATTTGGCATTTCAGTGAAACCTGTAACTGTTGCATGCATTCAATAAGTGACAAGAAATAATATGTAGCATTTAGGTGATCTTTGGAATCATTAAAGCATTAAACCTCTAACTCATTTTCAAGAGTTTCATAAAGATCAAGAAGGTAGTGAAGCTTCACAGGACCACCATGGAAATATAATGGCTTAACTCACATGTATTGATACCAATATCCTAGTTAATATAAAATTTCAGCACTTCAACTGAAGCAGAAAAACCTCCTCTTGGCTCTTGAGATTACCCTTCAAAGCATCCTACACTAAGTGCCAACACTGCATAGAGAAACAACTGTTGCTATACAACGCACCTCTGTGCACACCTACAATCGCCTTGTGATGACAATGAAATGAGAATGTATTATTATACTTGTACAGATCATGGGTGATTCTTTTGAGCAGATAATGACACATACTCCTACTGTTTCAAATTATGAGGAGGAGTCAACATGGAGAGGTATGTGAAAGTAAACCTTATGTTTGCTCCCCTTACAAAGTGAGCCTACTGAAAATCTTCTGCTACAATAAGGATTTTGAAATTCTGGATTTGATAAGCAGCAACTTTTATGGATTTTGTATTGGTATCGAAACACAGCACCAGCTTCTTGTTTGCTTTTATGTGCAAGTCAGAGTACCAATGAATGTCTCAAATTTTGCACTTTTTCAACTCCTATCCTCCTGTTGTGATAGCTAAGACAGTGTTACAGATTTTGTGGTAAAAAACTGAGGAGGAAGACTGTACTGATATATTTGGTTCTCTTTTTACTTCAACAGAAAGCAAAATTGTAGAAGGCACAGTTGCTACAACACTAGTGCCATTATACATTATTCTTTTTTCAAGTTTATATGTAATCATGCAAATTTTTCAAGGACATTTTGCAGATTATGCATAACACCATCTGCCTGTCATGAAAAATATATGTGTTATGTGACATTAAATTTCTTCATTATGTTAGGAGACACTGAATAAAGGTTATCTCAAAAGTAGATAATACCCATAATATTGAATATAGGAGAAACTGTGTACAGTAAAAGTGCAGTACAGAGCTGTGTTTTGGATTCAGTGTGAGAATACCACGTTGATTCCACGCTGATGTTTTGGTTGTTAAGTAGGGCTTACCCTAAATGCAGGACTTTTCAGTGTCCCCTGCCCTGCCAGTGAGCAGCTGCACAAGAGGATGGGATGGAAAATGGCTGGGACAGGTGACCCAAACTTGCCAAAGGGATTTCCATCCATGGAAGGTCATGTCCAGTCCATAAACTGGGGGGAGTTGGCCAGGAGGGGCTGATCACAGCTCAGGGAGTGGCTGGGCACTGGCCAGCTGGTAATGAACAATGGAATTGTGCATTGTTCTTTGTTGTCCATCCCCCTTTGGCTTTGTCGTTACCTCTCTTTTTGTAGCCTCCATTTTCTTAGCAATTATTATTCTGGTTTTGGGTATTTCAGTTATGAAACTGTTCTTAGCTCGACTCATTGATGAAAATAGCTCAGTTGGTCAGAGCAGGACGGGCTCAGTCCCTGCATGAGCCATTCCCACAAGAGTTGGATTTGATCATTCTTATGGGTCTGTTCCAACTCAAAATATTCAGTGGAAATGAAGCTTCTTGTCTCCACCCCACCAGAGGGGAATTCAGCTGCTGTATGGTACTTGATTGCTGGCTGGGGATTAAACCATGAGAATTTCATTTCACCTTTTTTGCATTTTCAGGCACCATATTATATTAGAGGAAAATCCTGTATAAGTTTATCCACTGGAAAGATTGAGAGTCTGTCAGAGCTCTTGACAAACTGTAGTGGATAGTTGCATTTTCTTTTACAAATGGACACCTTACTGAATTTCTCTAGGGTCAGTATTGATACTGACCTTTTCCACTTGGCTGGAAATGCATTTTATCCTCTGGATGATCTCAGTAATAATATTACTGCTATGAGGCTCACAATGCAGTGCTTTGTAGATGTGTTTTAAGCTCTACCTTATTGGCATAATTTTTAAAGCAAACCAGTATATTAAGCTTTCAGTCCTAGAAGATTCTCTTTGAATTATTTAAAAGTCATTGGGCTAATATATACCATCTATATATGTCTATATATGCTTTCCTCTGGCTCTTTGGCTGCTTCAGAGTAACTTACCACTGTAAAACTGCTCACAATTATTACATCTCTCATATTGGTATAGAAATTTTAAAACTTGCAGTGTATTGCTACATGGAATAATATACATGTAAAATCCAAGTTCTTACTGCTTCTTAATTATACTTTTCTGTACTGTGATAAATTCTATTTTTTCCTCATTTCTGCAATAATATCTAATAAAAATTCACAGCAATCTCAAAGCATGTATTAAATGGTAACAAACAAGTACATAGCTTCATGTGTACTGATACAAATTAATAAATAGTGATTTGTGTTAATGTTTTATGGAAGTTAATGGATCAAGAAATTGTTGGTGTCAGTGAGACTGGTAACTTTACCTTTGTAAGACTTGGCTCAAGACCTGTATTTCTTGATTCAGCTTGTTCTTTATTTTTCTTTGGGAGACAGTTTTTTAGTGATGGTGTTGGCGGAGGTGTAATAATAACTGTGCTCGTTGAAACACTTTTTCAGCTTCCAAGACTTAGTCTGCTGTCCTGTTTTGGAAGGAATAAATGGAAACTGTCTAAAGGCTCTGCACTGAGAGCATGTTCCAGTTGTGTTTCCAAGTAATTTGTTGAGTTCATGCTTAAATACAAGCTATTTCTGGCAAGATCCCCACCTCATAGCTTACTTAGTTCTTCAACCCTGTATTTACTGAATGATTTATTTTAAAGTTTCCCCAGGTCTAAAGAAGTTACAGTACAGCCTTGTTAACTCTGATCATCTTTATCAACTTCAAATATTTTGTCATCCAGCTTCTTTAGCTTCATTTGTTTATTTATCTTTTATTCTAGGTTTTCACGATACTGTTATCATCATCATTGTCTTCTCCTAAATTGTTAATGTACAGTTTCGGACTATGTTGATTCAAGCATCCTTCTGCAGATTGTAATTGCAGTTCTTGAATGACTGAAATTTACTTCAGCATACATGAAAAACCTTTGGAAATAATGAATAATATTTAAGGGTTTTGACAGGGGCTCTATTTGTAGTATTTATGACGAAGAAACTTTTGACAGTCAAAATATTGATTTACACGGGATTTTCCAGACTGCCAAGTGAGGAGTGTAAAGGTAGGTGGGTACCCAGATGGAATGCTTGGACTCCTCCTGTAGATTGAGTTGTTCTACTTGTGACCTGAATATATAGTTAAATTACTGCAATTTTTTTTGGTGTTGCTGGCAGGTTAGATTCCTGTTTTATTTTTAAATTACCCTATAAGCAGAATGAAAATATTTATGACAAGAGTTATATCCACCAGAATTTACAGAAGAAGGGTCTTTGTAGAATGGATGGAAAGAGATTTCTTTGCATTTGGGACTGCAGAAGTTGTGAAGAATATAGAAGAAAATGACATTGAAAAGATGTCTGTTTCAATCTTGCAAGAACATAGCATGCTGAAAAAGGGACAGGATTTTATAGAACAGGTGATAGCTTGATGGGGGTTTTTTTTGGTTTGTGCAGAAAGCTGATCACAAGGTTTGTATGAAGAACATGGTACACATAAATAGTGCTCTTAAGATAGTTTTGCCATGGCTGGTATATCAGGGATTTCAAAACTCAAGTGTCTGAAGGATTAAGTGTTTATAACCAAGTACTGCAACGGCTGATTGGCACAAAAGAATGAATGAAACTAACTTTCACATTTTCTAATTTTGTAATCAAATCTTTGCACTTATATTCAGTGAGAGGAAAATCTTGAAAATAAATGGAATGATAAAAGATATGAAACATTACCAGGAAGAAATGTGGATTCTACATGAACTGTAGCTGTATTAATAAATTAAGAGTAACAATTATACATTTACAGAAGACTTTAGCATGCATTGAAAACCATACTCTAAATATCTTAAAAATTTAAGTAAAACCAGATAAAGTATTTCAATATGTGAAAGTTAGGTAAGGTTTTGTATGGTACAGAAAAGAGAAGCAGATTGTTTCAAATCCAAGAGAAGTTAAAAATTAAGGAAGGAGGGAGCTTTTGTGATAGAGAAAGATGTACACTGGAGATGGAAAGCAAGGTTCAGAGATGAAATGAGAAAGGGAACAGAAGCTGGAACAGACAGGCTGCATTTGATCTGCTGTGGACTCAAAGCTATAAAAAGTACTTAAGGTGCAAATTGACATAATTTATGCAGAAATGAAATTCAGGCCAGCTGCAGATGGTGAATGATGCTGGATGTGGACACACACAGATATTACAGTAGTGTAGCTAATTGAGTTTCTTTCAAATGCTTGATCCTGTTTTATTTGCCTCGTAGAGGGAAAAATACAGTTCTACCCTCGATTCACACTACAAACACCCCATGATAGTTAATAAAACTGTTCCTTTAATTTAATTTTAGCATAGCTGATTCTTCAATTGGTAACTAAATAACAATGTTGCAATATGAACATGTGAAATGGGGGTTTAGCTTCTCTTTGGAGAAATAAAATTTAACAGCTCTGAAGCTTTTATGTGTGGGCAGAGAGTAGACTTCAATTTAGGTCAGAATTATGAATGTCTTTTTTTTATATACTTACCGGTATTTTGTACACTTATAATTCATTCATTTGTGTTTAAGTACAGTAAAGACTTATGTCTTCTGGGTTTTATGTGGAGTTGATGCAAACTGAAAAAAACCCCAAAATATCAGCAGTTATGTCCCAAAAGTAACATACTTTTTCCATCTAACCATCTCATACTGGTTTCATATTACAATTGAGCTAGTTAATTTTGGTCTGTCTATCCTCAAAAGCCCTTAGAAGTTCTCATTCTTCTTCTTTTGCTTCTGATTGTTTTGTTTGCTGATGCAAAAACTTCTGTGAATTATTTTCAATTCTAGGTTTACTTGCAGACTCGTCATTTTAATATGGGAGTTTTAATTTTTCATGTCTTAATTTTTTTTTTAATGTTGTTTTTTACTTTCATTTTATGAAGATGAGGTAGCTACTGTGTATCAGAAGAGGCACAATTGTACTAACAACATTTTTCATGGTCATCCTTAATATTGCTACAACAATTAGGTCTCATGTTGGAAACTGAGAGGCTCAGGAAATGAAGGCACAGCTCAATGAATGTGACCTTGCACGATGCTTGACAAAATGATGATGTCTGAGTGACTGTAAAGGCTGCCTCTTGAGTTATGATGTGGATACCACACCAGAGAATATTGGTGCTGGTAAGACCCTCTTCCTCACCCTGTAGGACTTCACTTTGGGCGAACTGTCTAATATATGGAAGCTAGATGCCTAAAAATAAATTAAAAAAAATTTAAAAATTAAAAACTAAAACAAACAAAAACATTACCAGTCTCAGTTTCCATTTATCCACTGATTTTCTTCCTTTGCTTATGAGATTTTAAAGTTCTGGACTTTTCTTTAGCAGCAGCATTTTAAAAATCTTTGCCTTAATCCTTAAGCTTTCCCATGCACAAAAAAATATAAATAATGATTGAGATATATTGTGGCTTGTGGAGAAGAAAGAGAACAGAAGAAGTTAATCTCAAGACATTTAAGTAAAAGCAAAGTTAAAATTCTGTACAGAAATAAAATGGTACTGTTAACTGCACATTTTATTTTCATTTTGATATATAACTACAATGAATTTAGCAAGCAAGCATGTTGGCATCATCTGTCCTTTATATAATTGTAACAGAATTGTATACAATTGTATACAATTGTAAGAGAATTGTCTTAGAATGAGATGAGGTCTTTGTGAAAGGCAGCTTTTAAAAAGTGGTAAAGATGTGTTTGCTCCACAGGATTTCATTATCATGGTTTAAAGCTGAGATGGATAACATGGAATAAACATTTTTTTTTACTTATTTCTGTACACAATGAATGGTACAGGGTGCAATGTCACTGTTTCACTACTGTTAGACCAAGGCTCAGGATCAACACACCTGTCAAGCTTCCTTTCAAGTATAAACTGACTTTAGCATCTGTGGTTGTCACTTTTAGGTTCTGTTGATAAGGAAAGAAATGCTTCCTTTTTCCTCCCCACTTTTCCATGTATTCTGCATTCAGTGAGCTGCAACACGCTTGCCACACAAAACCAGGAAAGGTGCTAATGAAAATAACCAATAGTACTCAAACCAGAATCAAACAGTACAGGAGGCTCAGCTGAGAGTCCAGACAAAACCTTTCCTATCAGGAGCTAGAAGTGGGCATTTTCTGAGTGGGATTTTACACCCACACAGAACTGCTCTGTTTCCTTTTCTTCTTTTCTTTCTTCTTTTCTTCCACTTGTGAGTAGTTTGTTTGATAAATTGCAGTATTTTTACAGCAACTGAAGTGTCAGTAGTTGGCTAATAGTCCCTAAATTCTGCACCCACACCCTCCTCTTCATTTCAAAGTATAGAATATATTGCATTTTTTCAGATTTGTTTACCACAAAGCTCTGATGTTTTCAGACAACCTATCAAAACAATTCAGTGGCCAAATTTTAAATCTGGAGAATCCTTTGTCCATGAAAGTACATGTCTTTATCTTCTCTTGACTCGACTGCTAGAGAATTTTAAATGCTGGTGCTGGCAGAACATGTGGCAAGGGCCTTTCTTCATCAAAGTAATTTTTCTTTTAACACTGGAAAAAAAGTTTTCAGTGAGAAAAAAAGACTTGCAAAAAAGTCTTTTTACTAGCAGGCCTACCAGCCTACCTAACCATAAATCTCAGTGTGCACAGATGATGGCTTTGGCAGGTGAAGCTTTTTTAATGGTCTCATTAGGATTCTATATGTGAATCTTACTCCCAGAAAGAGCTACTGCTTCTCTTTGCTGGAGAGTAGCCAACTTTGAAACTGTGCTTCAGGTCTTTGGGAATCTTCTTTCTCGAGGCTCTTCATACAAAAGGAGTTTTGTAGGCTGGCTATAAATGTGAGTTCTCAGTGAGTGCTGTGTATGGAGATGCCTGTCTTGAAACAGGCATTTTCTTCCTGTCTGCTTCTCCAGACAGGACCTCACTGAATTTATTCAGATCATTCATCTTCCCTGTAGCAGGTTGACATGAAGTATTAATATATTATTTCAAGGCAGCTGCAAATCCATCACAACAAGAGAGAGAATGTAGAAAGAAGGGAATGGAAAAATTGCATGATGTCCTCAAGGTCATAAGCAGAGCATGAGATAGAAACTGGGTGCTCTGTGTTGCAGGTGGTTTGATCTAGTCATGTTTCTTATCAAACACACAGCAAATGAAACAACCAAACCCTCAAAATTTTATTGATCATATATTGATTATATATATTGATAAATCTTTTTAAATCATCTCTTATGGCTGACATTCAATATGTTAAGTAACTGGATTTGTAGCTTCTGCTTTCCTTGAGAATTTTTCAACTGTAAAAATAAATTTGTAAGATAAATATATCTTATTTAGACATATTGTATAAGATATAATATATCTTATTTATTATAATAAATAAGATTACTTATTATAATATAACTTTACTTATAGATTTATAGATTTTATAACTGTAAAAATAGAGTTATTAAGGCCTATTTTTCTCTTATGTGCTTCTCAATTAAATTTCAGCAACCCTGTTTTAAATGATACTGAAGGGGTAGAAAAAAGTTAAACTGAAGAAAGAATTTAAAAATAAAATGCCACAATAATGAAATTAAGAGTGTTAAAATGCCAGACAGAAGATGAAAGCAAAATTTACAGTAAATGCATGTTACTTTATTTATCCTTTAGTGATGAAATGAGAAATCTGATCATGATAAAACGGAATATAATGATGAAACCAAATCTTCAGGAGGGAAGAATGAGATTCCATCATCATTAACAGGGTGGAAAATCCTGCTGGGCAGCTGACAGATGACTTTGCTTCTGACTCCATTAGGAAAAGATGCCGTTTATATCTAGTGAATTTAAGAACAAACTGGACTGAAAGTGCAAATAAAATGTTTGAAACATCCTGAATTGGAATGTGGCAAATACAGAATGTCATGTCTCAGGTTATATTGTGGACCATCCCTTTTCTCAGCACTGTAAATCATTTTGCTTCTGCTCAGTCAGGATAACATTTTTTCACAAGTGCTGCTGCTCTGGTGTTGCTATCTGTGCTACTAATTTTCTCCACAATATGTATATTAACAGGGGGGAAAGGAAAGGCAGCTTAATTACATCTTTTTGATCCAAGGAATCTAAATGACAATAAAACTTGCTTAAGTGAAAAACAGCAGTATAGTCATGCCTTTATTTTCATAGCTTTGTCCTAGTTCTCTGTTCCATGTATCATCCTGTTTTATGGTATCCACCAGCAGAGTTCTTCAAAAATGACTCTTTTTGGAGGATGCAGTGCACAACATTTTCCAGTTATAGTTTTCCAGTCCTGGAACTGTTCTCTATAATTCTATAAAGAGCATCATTCTTAAACTCAGAAAGATGGTACAAAGAGTCTTCAGCAAAGGGTTCTATTTTCTCCTGCAAGTCAATGGAATAAAATGCAGAACAGTAGTTTGAACTGAAATGCAGGGTGCTATCATTATAATTTTCTTGCAGAACACTGAAAAGCTTGATTTTCTTCATTGCATATAGTTATAGTGAAGTGACAAGAAAATCTCTTGTACTACAGATAGCCTAGATTTGTCATAATTCCCAGTGTGTCTCCCTGGCACCGTGGCATGTACTTTATTCACTTTTCCTTCTGCAAAGGGAAAGTAAAAAGAATAAATATAAGTAGGTAGCAGAAAAAAAAAAAATGTACCGACCTCAGACATTTTTTAAATTGTAATTTTAGAGCTGTACATGAATAGGTGGAAGGAAAACAATGAAATCATTTAAATGAAAATTATTTTCATAAAGAAGTTATTCAGTGATGAACTTAGAGGAACAGATTCCTGTGAGTCTTCAAGTGAGCAGAGAGGAGATGGAGAATCTTTTAGACCTTGAATGTCAGCACCACCTATAACAGCAGTCACCTTTGGGAGAACATAGACTTCCTAAGAAAAGCAGAGTGGAACCTGAGATAGGGATCATGAAGTATTTAGAGCTGTAACCGTGTCCCCTCACCCTCTGCATTATATTTAATAATTTCTATGGCTATTGTGTGTTTTGTGTTTGCACTCCTACTGGGCTGCCACAAGAGGACTTGGTAGGGAAGAATCAGAAAAAAAGGGTTGTTTTTCCAAAGTGCAGCACTGTTCTCTCATCCATACTGATGTCCCAAATTATTCACCTGTTTTAGGCTTTATAAATACTTTCCTCCTTAGTATTTTCTTACAGAAAAATTTCTCTGTGCTGCACTGTTCGGATTGTTTCTTCACAGAATTCCCTGCTGTATTTCAACTGTCCTCAAGTCTGATTTCTGTAATGTGACTGAAATCTGAACAATCCTGTTTCTCTCTCCTGAGTCATGCATGCTTGGGATGGCAAATACAGGCACCACTTACATGTTTGCAGGAGGAGCTTGATGTCATGTAGAAGAAGATCTACAGGCAGTGAGAGTTTATAAGCAAACTTCCTGTTGGCTTCTGCTGGCATTCTACAAATGCCATGGTAAATCTAGACCCAGATCAGCCCATGATCAGGATTTCATGGTTGTGCAAGAAGGATGTCAATGCTTTCACTGCAATAATGCAAACAGGTGACTGAGGTGCTGGCTTGAGAGGTGCACGTAACAGAGACAAATGAAGAAAGGTGTTTCTGTGTGCAAGTCCTCCTTTTCAAGTGAAAAAACTCTAATGGGGTCTTTCATTAAAAAATCTTAAAGTGCATTAGCACAGTCAGTTACATATTCTCATCATCATTTGATGGAATGGAAAAGTGAATAGTAAATGTATTTACCCAATCTCTAAATGGTGCCATTTAAAAATTTTTCCCTAAATATATATTCTATTTTTATGAGATCTTTACTTCTAAGCATTTTAACCCCTAAAATGCAGATTTATGGGAATGTCAAGATGCTTACTTTTAATCCATAAATTGATTAAGTAAATTCTTGTCAAAGCATCCTATTAATCTTTAAGAACCCATGTTGTGTGATGATGGTCAGCATTTGGATGCATAAATTGATCAAAACTACTACAGTTTGTTTCATCTTTATCTGTAGGATAATTCAAACTCAGTAAAGATGAAGCAAGCCACACTTTGAGGGCAAGTCTTTTAAAACCTACATGTTTATCTCCACTTAATCTGCTTCCTGCAGTAGGTAGTGTGCCTTTATGTAAGTGCTAAGTAAAATCCATCCAGCATTGCAACATTCAAAATCCTAATGATGCTGCCCTCATTCAAAGCCTATTGAAACAAATGGAAATCTCCAACTAATTCCAGTGACATTTGGTCAAATCTTTCAAGCCAGGGTGTATCTATGAATCCCTTCAGATGTGTTAAAAGTTGTCTGGGCTGGCATTGCAGAATGACCAAAAATAATTGCTACATTTTCAGAAGATGGAACAGCAACTACGGTCTTGGTATTTGCATTAAGGGTGAGCAGATCTTATGACTATGTGGCATCTCAAAATCTACTTCTATCTTTGGAAGAGTTGCAAAAATAGTTCTGGTTTGCAAAACCTTATCCATGTTTTAATTTATTCCCTTTCCAAAGTGATTATGAACAAAATTATGAAAACAATATGTAAAAAGGACCCACTGGAAGGAATAGAGGTGCACACAAACCCTGGAAGCTACTGACCTACATGCACTGTTCTGCATTTTTTTCCCCTGAACTAGATTATATCTTTTCCACCACACCTCTCCATTATTTTTTGTTTTTTCCTAATAGCATTCGTGGGGGTTTTTTCCACTTTGGTGACTCTCTTTTCACCCTGTTTGTTCATTGGATAATAATTTTTTTTAAACTTCTTTTTAGACTGAATTTCTTAAGCTAAAATGTTTCAAATGAGCAAAAAGAACTGGGAGTTTTCTTGTTTAGATATCATGTCAGATGATGATTCATTAATTATAGTTAGACTGCATAAAGGTATGAGAGAATAATGAGGGATGATACCTGGTGTTAGAAAAGATGAAGAAGGAAAGGAAAAGGAGTTTTGCAACATTTTTTACATTAAAGGGACAAGCAAACTATTTGGCTGTTCATCATCCCATATCACTATTTTATCTCAATATATTAATATCTGTTATTAATATCTGTTATTAATATATTAATATCTGTCTCTCTCTTGTGTTTTTGGGACTCTCTGTTGTTGTTAGCACAATTCAGCCCTGTAGTATGTGATTTGTATTCCAGTCATTCCTGCAAAAGGCTACAAAAGGTCACGAAATAAACCTTTCTACATAGGTAAGATCAGCACAAGTACTGATTTTAGAACATCTCACTAATGAGAATGAGTGCAGACAGTATGAGTGAAATTTGGGGAAGAGGAAATGACTTCTGCTCAATTAGGTCATAGATTAAAAGCTGTAAACCCAAGTAAATTCTCAGATACAAAATACAATACCATAATCCTATAATCACATTAAGCAAATAGTAGATTTTTATGCCAGAGGAAACCGTCAGGAATGCTAAATTGGATCTCCTGTGCAGCAAAGAGCTACATTTTCCTCTGAACTGGATAGTGTCTTCTGGTTTCCAGAATCTGGAAACAATACTTTAATTTGGGATTTGGTTGAGGGCAAATTCATATGTAACATCCCAGACCTTCCACATGAGTTGAAAGTAAGGCCTTTCTTTCCTATACATGAGTTGATCAAATTATCATGAATGTAGATAATAAAATTACTTTCTTCATCTCCTCAGGGCCACGAAAATCAATTATGTGCTATATGTAAATAAAAGAACCATGACATCTTCTAATTTATAATCACATAAATAATAAGCTTGCTAATAAAATTATATAAAATAGAAAACTAAATTCTTTTTTGGAATAGCTAGAAAGCCATTGACTGGATTGACTGGATCCCGTTTCACCACTGGCCAAAAGGATCACAGACATGTAGACTCCATTAACATATGGTCCCTAATCAGAGGGTGGATAGATGAACAAAATTACTGCCTTGTGTCTCAAAGGAGAGTACTTTGAATGGCTTGATAGTTATGGTATCCATGTACAAATGAATATCTGAATTTCCCTCTTAAAGAAAAACAAAACAACTTCCTAAGATGCTTAGAATCTCAGTGATCAATGGGATGCTTAAGAACTCGAGGAGAACAGAGAGGACAACAAGGGTCAGGGCAGGGTCTGCTTTTCCTGCTTGCACTACAAACCATGGCTGGACAATTTACATAGCAGTTTTCTGTTTCTGCACCACCCTGCTCACAAAACCCAAACCCAAACTTGCTGTGGCAGCTTAAAGTATTCTTAGGGCATGCTATCTCACCTTTGAGTAATCATCTCGGCTCAGAACATTTTTAATTAGGGTTTTGATGTATCCTTCAATTAGTAGAGAATAAGACTTTTTATTGCTTAGGGATACAATGGATTGATGGATGTTTTTCACTTGGTTTTTTTCAGTTTTATCTGAGATGTGGGTTAAATTATTCACTTTTTTCCCTGAATATATAATTAACTATGACTTATACTGAGATTTCATTGCATGGTAACATAATGCCAGTTATTTTTATGTCAAACATATGTTTTTCATAGCGGTTTAGATAGTAGTGGGTTGCCTAAATTTCAGGTATTATAATTCTTTAGGGAAATCTAGTCTATGTTGTTCTTCCTCTTGATTTTATTACCCTTTACTCTAAATGTAATTTCTATAAAAATAGAATTTATACATGAATTACTAGATTTTTTTTTTTGTCCAGGTATTTTTAAGTAAAAAATAGGTAGCGGTAAAACTCAAGCAGAAGCACAGTGTCACTCTTCCATTTTAAAGCTTTTATAATAAAATGTAACTTCAGATTTCTATCCCAGGGAAAAGGTGACCTTTTAAAAACCAAAGTAGGTAAATAGATCTTACGCTAGCTGGAACAAAGAAAGCTCTCTAAAATAAAACGGAGCAAAACTCAGTGACACTGTGGATTTATAAGCCCAGAGTTCTGCAAGTGCTTTAATGCTTGAGTGCTCTTTACTGCCTTCTCTGACTGAGGTGCAGTGTGTGTCCTGGGTGACCAGCTGACCACTCAATATTCTACTTTTCCATGAGTCATGAACGCACAGGCATTCAGGCAATGAGCGTTGCCTTTTGAAAGGAGCATTAGAATCTGTGAATTTGGGAGAAAGAGGGGAAATTGCAGAGAAGGGAGAAACCTGGTGGCAGAATGGGAAGGCAGTTATTGTGATGAAATGACAGAGCCCTTATCTCTCCCTCACACACATACACACACACACACACACACACACACTGTTGTTAATTTCAGCTGTAAGTCTATTACCCAGCACATCAATTTATAATCTTATTTCCCTATAAACCTGCTTAATTAGCTGAGCATTTGGGGCCTGGTGTTGCTCTGTCAATTTATGCAGTCAAAAAAAAAGGCTTTGTGAGGCTTTTAATGAAATCCTGGTGTTTTTCATCTGGATTACATTTGGTTACCACTCGATTGAGTTTGGCTCAGAATCTGCAGTTAAAAATTGTTTTCAGTTCCTTTTAATTCATACATAATAATTCCTTAGCCTTTAATTTATGGTGAAAGCTTTACACAGTAAAATATTTTTAATTATTTTGTAGATAGAAAGTCTGCAACCAAAGAGTTCCAAGTGATTTGCCTGAAGCAAGATGATGATTGTCAAAGCTAGGATTAGAATGCAGAGGAACACAGCTCCCATTCTCATGCTTCATCTACTGTATGCAGTGACCCATGTGCATTTTTTAGCACATTTTTCTTCTATGTAGCAGAGGAAGAATCACAATATAGTTCTTGATAAATGCACTAAAATATACTTTTATTTTTAAGTATAAATATACTTACATGTAATAAATTTATATACTTAATATACTTTCATTTTTAAGTCTTGATACTGCAGTGTAACAGAGCATGTTTTTATCTCTGTCTCATGCAAAGATGTGATGTGAAGTCCTGTCTGTTTGAAGAACTGAAAAATATGTGTTTTCTGACAGGAAAAAGTGCTTTGATCAGGAAAGACCCACTGTCAGAAAGTCAGTTTTATTCTTCTGTCATGGTGAGGCTATTACAGATGGAAATACCATCTCACTGGTGAGAGTTTTCTAAATAGAATATCAAAAAAATTGTCTCAGGAATGAATAATCATGTATTGATTTTTGTCTTATTCTCACACAGTTAAGAACTCAGCTATGTTATGAAATATTGGTCCTGTTCCCAAGTAAGGTGATTTCAAAACACATACTGAATGTATTGGCCAGAATCAACCAGAAATAGAACATTTCTAGTGATTTTCTGTGGAATGATCTGTGTTTTATTTCATTATTCAGCTCCAAAATGAGCTGGAATAAGACACCTCTTCCACCCAAAAAAATCAGAACATCCCAATTTCAACCCACAAGAAACCCCAAACAGCCCATGAACAACAGCAAAAACAAAAAAGCCCGAGATAAATGGAATATTTAGGAACAGGACAATATCTAGAACATCTGTGAGAGATTAACACAGAAGTAATGACACAGGTGTAACAAAAATACAGGAAGGTGCAGTCTATATTAGAAGATGGATGTACATGACTGTAGTTTGGAAGTTTTTTAGCACTAATGCTCTTTGTATTGGGAAGATGTCCATTTTGTTAGCCTTACCCACTAATCTGGAGATGTCACCTGCTCCTCAAGAGTACCCACCCCACAGAGACAGAAGTTGGTTATCCCTGGATGGTTACAAAGCTGTGAGGAATAGATCAAAACTGTAGAGTACAGTGGAGACTCCTGCAAAGTTAAAGGATTGGAATGAAACTGCTGAATCACCAAGCCGTCATATTTTTGCTCTGAGACGCAATCTGAACACAAACATAACATGAAAGGAGTGAATCCTTAGTAGGCTATTTGGAACTTTAGCAGGATTTCCAAGCCTGAGGTAGACAATGTCTGAAATAATTAATCATTCATTTCAGGTATAGAAAGCAAAGAGCATCAGCTCTCACTGATAGTTCTTCTGGCAGACATTTGGCTGAATAAAAGTGAGAGAAGGGAAAGTCCCCAAAGCAATCTGAAGGCAGCATCAGGCTGGATAAAAAAGCTGAGGTGTACAATGATCAGGTTCAAGAAGCAGTGAAAAGAACTGCCAGCTCCCATATGACTGATGATTTTTTCCCTTCAGTCTCCCACTCTGAGCTCTGTGCTTGTCACTCAGAAGAGCTCAGCCTGCTCCACATCCTCTCCAGTGACTCTCAGGTGTGTGCATGAAGTGAGGGGTGCTGAAGTGAGGGCAGGGCTGAGTGGCAGCTCTCTGCTGTTTCTCACTTTCTGTCAGCCAGTGCTGCTTGGCAGGGATGAGCCTGGCTCACCTGTGAAGCTGGCTGTAACTGGCTTCGTGCCTGTTCAGTAGGAGGGTCAGGATACAGAACCAAATTGATATTCCTGCTTAAGAAAATAGGAAGAGGTGTCCATGTTATTTTTTTATTATCATTGCTGCATTCTGTGAGGCAGCCAAAAGAGGCAGGTTATTGCTGATTTTTATTTGTCATTATGATAAATCACTGTAGCTGTAGCTCATTTTGGAGACCCTGGTGTCAGTTTGCCATGCACAATTTCCTATCGTCTGCTTACAGTGTCCTGTTTCCATTTCCTGTGTTTATAGTTTGTAATAAATACTTGTTTCAGGGCCCTTAACCAAACTGCATCTGTAATGCCCAAATGTGGAACAGTATCAGTACAAGAGAAGACTGCAGTATCAGATCTGGATGCTCTAAGAAATTCTCTTGGTAGAACTTGGACAAAATACAACAGATGGTGTATAGACAAGCTTTTGGGAACTAATCACAAGGATTTTTCTTTGAAAGCTCCAACTTCCTCATTAGGAAAAGGACTGAAGCGTATTAATTGCTTGTTGAGTTGCCCTCTTTAACCTTCTTTAGCTAAAATAAAAAAATAAAAAAAAATCCAAGAATGCCTAAGAACAGGTATTTCCACCTGAGATTAATAAAATCTAATTGTGGTTAAAATTTAATTGTGGTAGAAAGCACTGGAAAGATTTTAACTGGAGTGCCGTTGGATAGGTAGCAGTGGAATATGTATGAAAAGTCCATCTGGGGTCAAGAGAGCATTTCATTTAAATGAAATCTAAAAGAGTTTGAAGTTTTTATTTCAGCAGATTGGAAGTCCCAAGGGCCTGTGATTGCACTGTCTGATTGCTTTGAGTTCAGAACCAGGAAGGAAACTCGCTGTTTCAATAAAGGCTGGCATAGAAACAAAGATGTATAAGCCAGTCTTGGATGAATTTAAAGTGGAAATTAGAAGAAATACTTTGGATCAATGAAAAGAGTTTGGCTAATTTAATAACATCATCTGATGACATGTATGTGTTTTTTGTGGACAAAAGAGCTGCTGTATCCCAGCTGGCACTCAGAGAGCAGTGGCTTTAGCTCACCCAGAAGTTCTCTAATGTTCTTGAACCTGTGCAGGGAAGAAATAAAAAATGAAGATCGATACAGTCCTCATTCCTAATTTCATCATTTAGAAACAGCATGAAGTGCTTCCTCACGGGACCTGTTCAGGAATATAATATATGCTGTGAAACTATATCCTCGCTACTCTTGAGAGGATTTTCCATCATATGACACTAAAAATATCTCTGAATCCACAGTTGATGAGTTTAATTACTCATCAGCTCTTTACATTACAATTCATTACCCTGAGGTAATAAAGATAAAATAAAGCATTTAGATGCCATTGTGCCATTGTTACAGCGTGTTCAGCAGATTGTCTCTAATCAGAGCTGCTTGTGTTTATGCAGCATAATTAATAGAAACATGAGAGCGCTGTCCTGAACGAACCAATTTTAACAGGTGCCCAAGCTGCTGCTTGTCTTTCATTTTCTCCTACTTTTCCATAAGGATGGCTAGTTTAATTACAGAATTTAATGAATTATGTTTGTTGATCATTCATTTTAAAGTCACAGTTCATTTTTTATTTGTGGTTATTTTATTATATATTAAAAATATGCCCCTAAACCACATTAGTTATGGCTATAGTCCGTTCTGTATCACCCTTGATACTAAAATTTTGTCAGAAATTATATTTTAGATAATAAGGCTCTGTAGAAATCAACATTATATTACAAGCAATGAGTTCTATATCAATATGTTATGCATAACTAAAAGACTTTGTTATTGGCAAATTTATTTTGAGTGTTTGTGACACCTGTGTGGTATATTACAGCTGAAGTGAAAGCGCTGGTATAAATGGTAATCTCAAATCTTTCCTGATTACTAACAGACTTTGATTCTTTACTCAAAATCATAGATGACTGTAATCTATAAATTAGTTTTTTTCTCTGTTATGATCCAACACATGGAAGTTGCACACCAGCTGTCAAGGAAGCCTGGCACAAAACAGCCTTTGTGATATGGGCCTGTAAAGCCATTACCCTTAATGATATGATTTTATTTAGCCCAAAAAACTATTTTTGATCCTTGGTCCTCTTTTTCAGAGCAATCAATAAATCAAATCTCAAATGTAAAGATGACAAACATCAATTTGGGAAGCACCACAGCATCCAGGGACCTCTGGGGGAAAGACCAGCACAAAACACATGAGAACTGGAAACAGGACAATTTCTTCCATCACTAACACTGGTCAAACATCTCTTTTGTGATGGAACAATTAAGAATTTTTTTCCTTTCTGAAAAGCAAAATTAAAACAAGTCAAATGCAGACTAGCAGTATCTGATATCCAGGGATTTAATAATATTTAAATATTCTATTTTAGAAAATAGACTACCTTTCTTGCTTGTGCATACAAGAGAAAAATATTTTCAATTATAATGTTAACATAACATATTAACATTTATTAATAATTGCCTTAATATTTGCTAATTATAATCCTTTTCAGTCAGGAGATCACTTTTTTCAGATGCTAACTTTGTCATTAAAAAAGTCTTCATTTTTTTAGGGCAGTGCTCTCACTGTTGCTCCCAGCAAGCATGTGCTTACCAATTAAAGACTGACCTGGTCTACCCTTCTTGCTGCTTCATACACTGTTGTTATTATATAGCATTTATTCTGTCGCTTTCAGCACTGCAATCAATAGCTGTGATCACAGCCAAGGATGTTACATGACTATATGACCCAGATATACAAGTCTGGGACAAAAAAAGCCCTGACAGTTTGGAGAGCCTCATATTTTGATTTAGTTTGCTCTAAGAAAAAATATTTTTCTAGAACAAGTTGAAGGCTTTGTAAATTCCCTGTGAAGTCATGGGATAGTTGTTCTAATCCAGGCTTCCAGCTCCCTGCGTGGTGAGCACATGTAAGGGGTTTTCATTAAAACAAAGGGGAAGAGTCCTCATTGCAACAGACCAGAGAAATCCCTAAGAAATGTGTTTTTCAGGTTTTTGCAGCATGGCTCAAGGCATGACTGATGTATACCATGGACTATACTGGACCCAGAAATGAGCTGACCCTTACGTGTCCTATTGTGTTTGAAAGATGAAGGGGATTCATGACCACTATGGATGTACTAAATACTGGAGATAAAGAATTCACTATGAAACATTAAATAATCTCTTATTGATCCTATCCTGTTTCATTTGTGTTTGTAAACTGTGCTCTTTCATTAAGCATTTTCATTGTAAACAGGAGATAAGTAGTGTTCTTTGGGTTACATAAAAGGTGGTGACAAGCATCTTTGCCAGTGCCTGTCTCTGTCATGTACTCATGCTGAAAGGTCATTATTCTGAGGTCTCAAGTATTGTAGCACGTGGAGAAAATCTGGAATATACTTCATGTGGCTGACATAGAAGTGCTATTTTGGGGCATTGTTATGATTTAATTTATGTAATTTAATTTATTTAATGAATTCAGTATGCTGGCTTATCTAAGCTAGATTTTAAAGAGCTCAGCTGGGCACTGGAAGTGGCAGATCTTTGTTCCTAGGGTCATACAAACTGAAGGGAATCTTCCTCTCCTTTCAGCCCACCTTTCAGCTTAGTCAAGTTCACTCATTTGGATATTTCTGTAGGACATTGGACTTTTGTCATTAAGCATTTACTGTCTTTTGCATAAATGACTAGTTTCTACCCCCAGGATAATTCTGCCATGGTCAAAATCACAATTGCAAAGGGCTTGAAGTGTGGGGATCCTTCAGTTTCTAGTTCAATATGCTCCAGACTTTGCTATTTCAGTTGTCTGCCCTACTTCTTGACTAAGCAGTATAATATGTGTTAAAGTAAATTTATGCAGTCACTGTAGGAAAAAAACTTTTAGAGCATGATGAAATGCTAGGATTTCATATACTGGCCACTAATATTATCAGGAAAAGGATTAAGGCCTAGTGAAACTCTTGAGTTTGTTCCATGTCATTTCAAATACATGCAGAACTGGGTACAAATTACATAATTGCTTCTTCAAGAGCAGTATCTCAAGTGAATTATTTTAGTTTAGAAGTGAAATATTGCATAAACAGTGCCTCCAGAATATAAGGACTTAAGGTTTTTGGCACAAAGATCAGGATAAATGAAATGTTTTCAAATTATCAATGAGCTCAGTAGTTAATAAGTTTTGTTTTCTACAAGGGTTAGATTCTCAAGCCTATCAACCCATCAGCTGGCAAACAATAAATAAAATAAAAATGGTTCTAAATAAATAAAAAATGGTTGCATTGAATTATCCTGTCCTCATCAACTGAAGCAACAGTACATGTCAAGTCTCTTTCATCCCAAAGAAAATCCCTAGACCCTCCATCCTAGTAAGATGTCTACCTGGAGAAAGAAGTGGAAACCATATTTAAATTATGATTTGGAGAGATAATTTTCCTGCTTCTATTAGTTGTTTTTTCTAACAATATCTTTATCCATGTAAAATATTTTTTGTTCCCAATTAAAATACATTACAGACTTTTCTACTTTTGTTTTATGGCCTTTCAAAGGCTTCAGAAATCAAAATGTGCATCATGCAGTCCAAGCACTTATGATGCTGAGACATGGGGACAAAACTGTGGATACAACAAATATTTCAAGTTTTATTTTCTTTTATGATTAGAGGATGCAACTTATAAAATTATTTATATCAGAGAGATATATGTGGCTAATCCAGTTTCATTCCTTCATATCTGGATGAATTTTGAATGTACAGAAAGGTGTCCAGAGGATTCATGCAGGAAAATAGATTATTCTGGGACAGGAGAGAGAACCCTGCACTTGAAAATAAAGTCTGCTATATGTGTTCATATGTGATGTGAAAAGATGAAGGTGAAATTTTTTTTTTTCCTTCTTCAGTTTGAACTTTCTGCTGTAGGAAAAATCCCCAGACAACTAAAAGAATAAACCCAGTGTTCCTATGTTTGAGCACTGTTTTATTGTAAAAATTCTTGATTTTTTTGATATCTTGAAATTAGTATCCTTCTGACTTCAAAAGAGGATGGTGTTTCAGTATAGATGCTCCTTTGAGCAAGAACAGGCACATTATTTAAGAACTAAATGGAGAAGGAACTCCTTAGCAAAATAACAAATGAATGCTAAATGCTAAAATCCGTATGAAGCTGGTACGAATTAGCTGATATTAGACTGTACAATAACACTTTCATTTTCATTGCTGTGATGTTACAGTATGAATGCTTCAGGCCACGTGTATAATGCAAAGCCTCTTCTGTAAATTCATTTTAGGTGACAGTGTTTTTAGCAAGTGACAGTTCTAAATATAGCCTGATGAGTAAAAAGACATTGCCCTTACGATTGGCTGATCACATTGCCACAGTTTTTTTTTCCTCTTCTCTATTACCATTTCAAATACCAAAAATAAAATGAAAAAAACCCCTCAAACCCACAAATAAAAGAACAGCTCTTTCTCTGGAGGGCTTCTCTTGTAAATAATGATAATGCCTTATGCAAGGGTGACATAAATTTGTTTCAGATTATTTTTGCTCAATTTAGTGTTCATCTTTAGAAGTATGATTGGATAGGAAATTCACAGTACACACTCAAGTGCTGTACTGATGATCAAATGCACATATTTACAGTGTCCATGTGTTTGCTGTGTACCTGATGAAGGGAGGAGGAACACACAGAAATGAGTGTACTGCAGCCCTCTGAACAGCATGGGCTTTAAATTGAACAGGCTCTAAGGGGATGATTTACACAAAGGATGTTTTTAACCATGCAGTTCATTTCAGCTTGACAAAAGTGAACAGAGCAGCACTCACAGTATGTTGGGCGTTGGAGAATTTTCAAGACACGGTGTGTTATCTTAATTTGGAGAGAAGTTTTATAAAAAAACATTCACTTAGGAGTTGGGCTTGACTGTCCTTGTGGGTCCTTTCCAGTACAGAATATTCTGTGATTCTGTGAAAACAAGAAAACAAATGTGATTAGTGAAAAAACTCTACTTTTTTTTTTTGGTAACAATATGTAATTCTAAAAATTAACATTTAACATAGTATAAGTGGAAAAATAAAAGAGATCTCATGTTATTTGCAAGGACACATTAGTATCTTTTCACATTATTTGTTACTTTCATTATAGAAGTGCTACCAATTTTATGAAGTTCCAAGAAAGAGGAAGGAGCTGGGCCATGCAAAACCAGCCACAGGTGGACCTGTAAATGAGAAGGTTCATTTTATCTACCTTAGAGGCTGCCACTGCTTATCATAATAAAAGCAACATCCTGTGTTCCAAGTAGCACCCCATGGTTTATGCCTTTCATTTAAGCCTTTCCTGGCTTCCAAATGCTCACCTCTGCCAGGAAGGATGTACCATGACTAGTAAAATAAACCTCTGCCTGTATGGGCGGATTATAGTGAGGTCTCTGTGTTTTGAAATGGTTCTACTCACTGGAAACAGCATCTGCAATCTTCCAGACTCGTTTCAGGTTCTCTCCAAATTCCACCCAGACTAGGTTTTTGGTTAAGCATTTGTGTTCACAGAGAGGTAAGTGGATTGCTATATGGGAAATTGAGAAAATACAATAAGGTTCAGCATCATGTATCATGTATTGCTTCTCTGCCCTGTCCCACCACTGATCCCTGACATTTCTGCAGAGCCAGTGACTGACCACTGGGGCTGTGTGCATGTTAGGATCAAGTAAATGACTTTCCTAAGCTTGGCACTTTCCCTTTTTATGTCACATGTACCTTGTGACTTGGTGCGTTAATATGTAGGCTTGAGGCTTTCCAGGTTTTGGAAAATTGTGTTTAATCTCTAAAGGGTATGTGTGCTCTGGTTTGCAATTTGAACAGCTGCATTTCAAAACTATTTCCTATTTAATTGTATTCAAACATTTAACTATAATCCTCTGAAGAGGCTATGTAAGAAGAGAGATTTTTAATGAAGGACAAAAATAACCCCTTCCTTTGTATGTTCATGAGTGTGAACATATGATGCAATCTGCCCTCCACTAGTCTGCCTTCTAATTATGTGTCCATGAAGCTCAGAGATGATGCCAGAAATAGTAATAATGATAAACTATTTCAAGTTCATCATCCTAAGAGCAGGAATTTGGGACCTGTCACAGTACATTTTTTATTAAGCACCCAGATTAGGCCAGTGAACTGTAAGAGAGGCTCTGAGGAGAGATTCTGTCATTCCCTGACACAGCTGAAATGTGGCCATTCCCTCCATGAGCCCATCAGAGATGTTTGTGTGGCTATGCAGATTCATTTCCACATCCATTTGAAGCCTGCACCTCCTGAATAGCAGCCACATATGAAAGTGTGACTCACAGAAGTGGGAAACCAGCAGCAGCTCCTGGGCTGGCAGGGTTATTCAAAAGGAGTGTGGTCAGGCTGTGAGAGGTGATTCTCCCTCTCCATTACTCTTGTGAGACCCAACCTGCAATACTGTGTACATTTTTGGTGTCCCCAGCATAAGAAAGATGTGGAACTGTTGGAGCAAGTCCAGAGGAGGATCGTGAAGATGGTAAGGGGACTAAGAGGACAGGCTGAGAGAATCGTAGCTGTTCAGCCTGGAGAAGAATGGAGACCTCTTAGCAACCTTTCAGTATCTGAAGGGGGCTATAGGGAAGCTGAAAGATGACTCCTAGGAGCTGTAGTAACAGGACAAGGAGTAATGTGTTCAGTCTGAAAGAGGGGACATTTAGGTTAGATGGAAGAAATCTTTGTGAGTGTTCAGTGACACACTGAACCAGGTTGCCCAGAGAAGTTGTGGGCACATCATCCCTGGAAGTGTTCAAAGCCAGGATGGATGGGGCTCTGAGCATCCTGGTCTAGTGGAAAGTGTTGTTGCTGCACCTGGCAGGGGTGTTAGAACTAAAGGATTTATAAGATCCCTTCCAACCCTAAGCATTCTGCAATTCCCATCAGCAGCAAGCCTTGCACAGCTCCCAGGGTTTGGCCAGGATGTGGTGTTTGATTCACCTGGGAAACAGCCTGTCCACAGCTCACCAGCTCCGGCCGGGTCACCGTCACAGGATCCCCTCACAGCGCCCGGGGCTCGGCAGGGCCACGTCAGCCGTCCAAGGCACTGTGCTCTGCTGTCCCTGCTCCCCATTCTGGGTTTGTTCCCTCCCAGCTCTCTCCCAGAGCGAGGAGAGATTCCCAAGAGCCGTCGGGNTCCCTCGGCCTAACCAATCTTGATGTTGAACAAAAGCATTGATCTGTCTGGGATTTTGGCTGACTTCGTTCCATCAAGATCGAGAAGTCTACTCAATTCAAATCCTCCAAAATACTAAGGGTAGCAGAATGTGTTCTTGCAAAAATGTAACTCACAACAGAATGCTTCACACCATTTTTTTTGTCCTCCCGAATGGTGTTTAGAAAAGCCACAAAACTTTCTTCCCTGTATTTTCTTTAAAAAGCCTAGCTTTATACATCTCGCTGCTGACAGGCTATGTTGTGATGTGTCAGTTTATGTTGTGTCAATTGCCTCTGGTTATATAATGTGCCATGATATGACTAATGCAGCCCAACATGAGTCACCTGTCGTGACAGCTTTATGCTCTCAAGAAACCTCTTTGCCTTCCCTTTAGAATATTTTCTTGTTATTGTTGTTTTATTTTTCCTAAAGATACAATTTTATCCAATTTGCTGTTCATTGTTTTAAATTTTTACAACAAGATGGTAAGTAGGCACAGACATTCACTATTAATGTATATGACTAAATGATTACTGAGACGTGGAGAAGCATGAGGTGCTCCCACTGCCTGCTGTGAAGGGAGATGATTATAGATCTGCTGCTACAATGCAGCACTGTACCTGAAGAAAAATTTTACGAACAGAACAGAAATCCCAAGGAGCAGATGGGAATCTAAATGTGAGCAGTTATAATCAGGACACATTTGTACCAGGAATTTGTGTATAACATTAACGTCGAATTATTAACACCAGGCTATGATTGCGGTGTTAGACTGATAATGGCATAAATACTCGGCAGATACATATGTAACAAGTGGCCACTGATATAAAAGCAGAATTTTTCCCATTTTCCTTTTAGGAGAGACACTGAGATACTCCCAGCCACTGCTGTTTCATGCCACTGAGATCAGCTCAGTTGATTAAAGCAATGGTGCTAATGTCACCAATCTAGTGGGTTCAGAACCTGTGTGGGGCATACACTTAAAGAGCTGGACTCAGTGATCCCTGTGGGTCCCTTCCAGCTCAGAATATTCTGTGATTACTTGAAAGAATGATTTGCATTGTTTAAAGAAAAACAGGTGAGGATTTGTTATTTCTCAAGGGTAGGTAACCTGCAACTCACATTATGCTAAGTCACATTATCTCTTGTCATGCATTTCCTTGTAAACTTTAACATATTTTTTGGTTCAGTGGTGCTTTTTTTACTGTGAAAACATGAAGTGGTTGTGAGGTTTTTCATTATCTTTCCTCCTCAGATAAAACTAGATGTCATTTGAGTAAAAGAGCATAATATTTTTCTTAAAACAATCTTTATATCATAATGAATTATATATTTTTTTTCCTTAAAGATTGAATGATTGGTGTAATCAGCAAAAGAACTTACATCGTTGCCTGCTTCTCAAGTTACATAGAAAAAAAGTAGGGATCAAATTCACTAGTCTTATTCAGATAACAAAATATAATTGCAGAAACTCATGTCTTTCCTATAAATAGACTGAGAAAGCACAAGTAGGTTCCAATAAAGAATTACTGAAATCAGTTCACTTATCTTACAGCAGGTGATGAATCAACAGCAATTTTATTGACTGCAGAAATATGGAAGTATATATTTTTACAGATTTTTATCATGTACTTACTAAATTTGCCGTATCATATCAATATTATTCTTTTATATAATTTTTCAATAAAATGCCATGTTTACTCTTCAATATCAGTGACACTTTAGACACATCATTTCATTAGCCAAGAGTGCCTGTGAGTAGTTATACAGGACTGCTCTCTAAAGGCATCATATCCATGTACCATCTGTATTTTTATTAAATTTTAAATTTTTTACATCTTTTGTGATTGTGTGAAATTATGTCCAATGTTAAAAAGACAAACAATGGAGGAATAAGCTTTAAAGCAAATTTGGTTATTAGGTCTGTACTAAAATAGACTTAAGCCTTGCAAATTTTGCATAGTGCTGGCACTGTTCTGAATTTCCTTGTGCCTGGATGTGACCACAGACAGGGCTGTAAATACTGCCAGTACCTTTGTACATGATATAGATGTCAAATTTTCCAAGTGTGCTGAATCTGCAGAAGAGTTTTCCCCCCATGTGCGTGTTGAACACGATGTGCCGCCCTCTGCTACGTTAAATAGTCCGTGAAAATATGAAGCAACACATCATGACAGCTTTTTAACTATTCAATGCAACAGAATACTAGATTACTAGTAATCTAGATTACTGCCAATGGAATGGAGGGGAGAAAAATCCTAAACTGAATTAATTATTTTTTTTTATTTACATGCAACGGTTCTCCATTTGTGGACTCTCACGAGGTGCCTAGGCTAGTGCATTCCTCTCATCTTCTGTTACTAGTTGTGTGTTCTGTCTGGCACAAGACAGCTACAGCCAATGTTTTGAGTACTGCTTTCAGCAACTGATTGATTGCAATGCAGTTATCAGCTCCCATTCTTTTATACATCCAATGCTGTCTATGACATATTTTAGTGTTGATCAAGTCCAGTCACTGCCTTTTGAATAAAATGAGCAGGATATTGGCATAGCCTCATTCATTAATTAGGTAGTGTGTTTAGTGTTGAAGCCCATAAAACTCAAGATTTTCATCCTTTTTACATGGCTTTTAGGTCCTGCACTGGCCCTTGAAAGAATACTGCTTATATGCATTCACCCCCTTCTTTCCACATTTTGCTCTGCCTTTCTCATCTATAGATATAGAAATAAACATATTTGCCTAGTCTTTATGTTTTCTTTGTGTGTGCAGCACTTAAACCTTTTCCAGGCTTACCATTTTTGTGTGGTTAATAACAAAGCTATAATTTACAATAATAAATATGCCATAAGTCGTAATTTTGCTCTGTAACTACTAGGAACCAAACTCCCAACAGTAGGAGTGATATTTCTCCCTGTAAATAACTGAGTTGCTCATGTAAAACACTCACTGATCCCTCTGGTTGTCTTCTCCCCAACACCACACTTACCTCTAAAGAAAAGAGCGATGCTGTTAATTCACAGCAGGAGGAGGCTGTGAAGAGCAGCCAGCTTAGGAAATATACTTTATGTACTTTGATAAATACACTGATAAACCTGGACTAACAGACAAGTAAAGTCTTCACTGTTTTTTTTCAGCCATCAGTAATGACTTGGCATTTGTTTCATTCAGTTCTGGTCACCTCTGTCTAATTTCATCTTCATCTAATTTGCTAGTTTCAATTGCTGCAGATTGTGTTCCAGGATTCTTTAAGATATAAAACTATTGTGCCTGACCACACAGTCTTTTATTTACTAAAAGTGTATAAAAGAATAGAATTTACGTTTCAGAGCTAGGCTCCAGTACAGTTTTTGGCCCTTTTATTGGTTTTAGATTTCTGTAACATTTTCTCCATAAGGAAATGTTTGGAATGGCAGCCATGGACTTAATAAGATATGCTTCATATGTAGCACCTTTTACCTCTGGGCATGGATTTTCACAACTGTGTGAAATACTTTTGATCTGTATATTCTGAAATGCTCATCTAAGAATTTTCTTCTGTTTGCTGTGCAGGAACTAAAGGAGGAACAAAATGAAAGGTCTGAGCTCTGACTCTGTTCAAAAGCAGCATCTGTGTTACTCTTACTAAACATGCACAGTACGGTAATACATGGTAGAGAGGAAGCATGTGGGTAGGATATTTATTCTGATGAATTTCCCCTTTTTGATTCTGCAGCAGTCAGGTATGTCCTGTGTCCTTAAGTGTTTGTGAGTACTTGATTCAGGATTGCAGATCTTGGGGCATGTGCCTTTGCCATGACCTAAGAAGCAGCTCCATCCCTGGCAACCTATCCCAGCTCCTGTGAGGAATGAATAGCTGTGGTAGATCAACAACCATTTACACCCACAAAATTCAGAGAAGTGTTTCATGGGATTCACAAAGTAGCCAGAGGCAGGTGTTGATCCTGTGAAATCCCCAATCTTCAATTTCACCCCCGTATTTGGTCACAGAGAAATGGCACATTGGTGCTCCCTTTAGCTGCTTGATCAAACGTTTCAGACAATTGCTCTTGGGCAGCAAACCCACAGGTGTTTCAGAGTTTCAGGGAGAAATCCTATTAGCTGGCTTAGAATCCTGTCAGCAGATTGCATCATTATTGAATGAATCATGGTTTGTCACAGAGACCTTTCTGATACTGAGTTAAAGGGGCTGTAGACTCAAAACTTTAACTGGTGAGCAGTCAGGAACTCTGGAATATTTATGCCATATGTACATGGCATAGTACGGAGAGAACAAATACGAGGAGTGGAACAAATTGTGTCTGCAGTGCAGATGGAGAAGACTGCCTTTTTTTAGCTAAGGATACTCTGGGAGCCTAATCTTAGGAATCCTCCTGTTACTAATCAGAACACCTGTGTGCTTTCCCTGTAGAAAGATGTAGGGGCAGCAAGCTGGGTCTTTAGAAAGCAAGGGGAGATTAGTGGCATGAAATTTTTCTGCAGGAGTAATAGAGATTATAAACTCTCAGACCTCTCAGGCTTTTTAAACAGGATTTTGCCTAAAGCTTTTCAGTAAACATTAATAGCTCAACAGCATACAATGGCTTTTACAGGAAAAAAAACCCCTTCTATTGCTAGCTGGATTGCTGTGCTTGTGAAAACATCAACACTACAGCATTTATGGGCTGGGTGTGTTGTTTCTCTTCTACCTGGCTGCAGAGTGATGTTTTTGCATACTCTTCACTTTTTGGTGATATTCATATTGTGTGAAGGGGTAAAAAAGGCTAGGAGGGAAGGAGTAAAAATGCCTAAAAAATTAAAAATGCTTGCCAAAAACCAGTGGGAAGGAGTGAGAAGAGTTGCCATGACAAGCTCCAGCACTGTACCCCTTAAGGATTGCTTTACACATTAGACACCCTTGCAGTTTCTGCAGTGATTATGGTCTAATTTCATTCTTAGTTTAGTTTGTATGTTTGTAGATAAAACATCACAGAG